GCAAAATTACGTTGAATTTTTCTTTTTTTGTGCTTTTTTGTTAAGTTAAAGTTGGGTTTTACAACTTCGGTGTTGTTCTTCTTATTGTTTTGTCTGTGTTTAATGTAGATATTTTGCCTATATTTTTTGCATTGGTTGTTCACTATGTTTATTGTCTCTTCTTAAGTGGTTTTTTTACGTTGAATTTTTCCTATATGTGCTTTTTTTATTAGGTTTTTCCAATGCTCTTTTCATTTGTAATCAAATTTACAGTAGGAGTAAGATTTTATTCTACATTCTTATCTCAAATACAATTGATTATCGGGACTTCTTAGTCCAATTTGGCATGTAGAGTAACCTTGTGAAGGATTGACGTCTTTTTCCTGTACATACTTATTTTATTTAATTTATTATTAATTATGATTTTAAATTTCTTATGCAAAGACGGTTGAGGAGAAAAAATCGGAAATAACCTTGTTTTTCTCACTTATAATGACATAAATGGAAGGATTGTTTACATAATAAAACGTAAAATGATTCATCTTACCAATACTTGTAAAATCATCAAAATTGGATGAAATTCAGAGGAGTTTTGAATTTAGGCTAATCGAGGGGTTTAATTAGTATTTAAGTGTCTCAAAGGGTGCTTAAGGGCAGACCGTTTATTACCATGCCGTATAGTGGAACATGTATTTTATTTTACTATTCGTTTTAATTGTAAACTTATTTATTATAAGGGTGCATAAAACGAATATGAATTGCTTAAAAAATAGACTTACTTAATACGAAGCGCCTTTTGGTATTAGTAATTTTTATGTATCTAATATCGTTTCATACAATGGTGCTTATTATTTTTATACCTTCTTCTTTATAATAACCATTGAATATAAAGTAGTAGTACAACGCAGGAAATCATACCGGCTGTAAATTACGTCCGTAATGTTTTTAATGGTAAATTAAAAGTCCTCCCAGAACTTCTCAAGTTTTTGAGCGATGAATTCTGTGTGTTTTCTGCAGCTTCAAAGTGAAGCTTTTTTTTCTATTAATAGAACCTGGAATAAGTGAAAATCTTAAGGGGCAATCCCAGGCGAATAATGTAGATGGGGTATGACATCCCAGTCAAGCTTTAACTACTTCTGGCGCGTCTGCAGAGATCCTTATGGAAACTATCCCCTTGCGATTTGCCAATGCTTTTTTGGTAAATTGTTGACTTCAATCGCTCCGATTGTGTGCAGTATACACTAGAATTAACGCCTTGGTTGGAAGGAAGAACTTTATAATCAATTAAATGCACAACCTTTTTGGGATGAAATCCGGCTTTTGAAGTTGATAACGGTGGGGCGCTGGGTTTTCTCAAGGATTTTCAACTTTGAACATCGCTGTAGTCACTTTTCATTCTCAGTTATCCATAAAGTTAAAAACGGGTTTAAATTATGTTTTAGGATGGGTAACGAAAAAGCAGACACACTGACCAGAGGAGGATTTGCGAGACCATATATAAGCCCTGTACCTATTCTTGGGATAACAAAAACAAATGTAGATCCCTCCACCACAGAATGGATCCAAAAATGACAAAAGGAGGTGTGTATACACTCTAGAAGTGTTAGTCGCTTATACTAAAACAAACCTAACGTACATTGGCAAACTCACTGCAAGAGTTAAAGAGATCTAAATTCATAGGAGTGATAAGAATACCGCTCACTGGCATCTGAGAAAACATCTACACAATACATTCAATAATGACTCCATTTGTAGGTTATGCAATGAGAAGGAAGAAACAGTAACCCATACAGTAACCCATATCATCTTTGAATGTGAAGCAAGCGCTCAATGTCTCTGGGATACTAAGAAAACCCAGGGGAAGGAATTGTAGCAACCACAGACAATGTGCTAGTACTTCTTAAAGATCAAGTCGATTTCGCGAAATAAAGAACTGGGAAGGTACTATAGTCCAGAAGGCTGCAATGCTTAGGAAACACAAACCCACTTTCTAGTATCTATATTCAACATCATCAGCTGTTTGGATGGGAGGAAGAACCTCATAATCAAGCATTCCCATTCGATACCACCATATGCACGACCTTCTATGGATCTAGCTTTTGGGGTTGTGAACGGTGGGTCGCTGCGTTTCCCCCAAGGATTTTCATCTCTGAACATAGCTGTAAAGTCACTTTTCATTACCAAGTATGAATCTTTTTAAAAATAGATTTACATTTCATTTTAGGGTCAAATCACAGATGGAGGTGTGCTTCTCAGTGAGCGTGTAATGAACCCGTCGATCCGACAAATATATCCTGCTATCAGATACGTTCAACCTCTTGTATGAGATAAGTTAAGATTTTCTGCGATGTTTCGTGTTATTTGACAAAAGCTTGAATTTATAGCTGTTTGCGTCTTCTAAGTCAAAATTTACGGTTCTGAACCGAACAACTTGCGGAGGTGCTTGTAACGAAAGCGTCATCACCACAAATTTTTCAAGAAGTGTGACCCGCTGCTTTCAAGAAGAATGACGAAAATGCACTATTTTTTCCTCCATTTTAAATTGTAAAAAACTAGTAAAAAGACGAAGATCTCGTACGAAACTGAAGTAAGACCTTAAATAACCCCTATGTAACTAAGGGTGTGTAAACAATAATGACTAAATAAACTTTCCTTCAAACAAGAGAGATAAATCGAATTATTGTATAATAACGTATAATAGAATAATATACAATCGTCCAATTACGTGATTGCTTATAACACACCAATCTAAATTCATAGATATTCACAGATGCTTAGGGAATATAGGGGCCGATGTTACAAAAAAATATGACCTTTGCAATAAGAGCTATAATTTTCCTGGAGGTCATGAACTGGTGGCAACTATAAAATTGTGTTTTGGTGGTAGAGGGTGAAGGATGCCAGCCTCCCCCAGGGTGCAGTTTGATTGTAATGGTCTCCACGAGACATACTGATATGACGCTCTCTCCATCTCCTTACATCTCCCACGGCCCACCTATAATAACATATTAGTCTTCAGAGACAACCTCCCAACTGGATTTTTCATTTCCGGCAAAGGGTTTTTTGCGGTTTTTGAGAATAGACTCTCAGTTTCGTTCTCATTTAAAACTGACCATGGAGGACGAAAGGGCCTTCTCGAAATGACAGTCCAGAAGAAATTCAACGTCTCCTGAAGTAATTTGACTCTTTCCTTATTGCGTAATAATCATTTCGAACCACTCAGCATGTATAAATTAAAAATATCTGCTTTCACCTATTGTCTAGGCTGAACAGTTCGCAGCTATCGTCTGTAGATCTGCAATAACTTAATAAGGGATGTCAGGTAGTCTTTTAGCCAAATGAAAAATCAATTGCAAATTACAAGCTTGTGTTGAGTTAACCTTTTCTGACAGACGAACTACAAGAAAAGTTGTGATGTTCCTCCTTTAGGTCGGTGGGGGTGATGAACCTGCAGTTTAGTCGTTAAATTGTCACAGATTCAGCACTGAAGATGACGAAAAGCCGAAGCACTTCTGAAATTAAAAAAAAATCGAGAATAAGCGGAACAAAATGATCTAAACCTCAAGTATCACGTAGCAGATCAAGTGTCTATGCCGGACAGTTAACAGGTGTCGTCTACAGATGTGCAATGACACCTATTAATGAATGGAGCATGTCAAGCAGACTTTTAAGTAAAACTTAGTAACCATCGCAAATCAATCACAGGGTGGTAACCATGCTTAGGATAGTAAAATTACAAGAAAACTTGTGATGCTCCTCCTAGAGGCCTTCGGGATGATGATCATGATAAATTGCCACGGAAATAGGACGGTATATGGTCGAGAGACAGCAGAGCAAACGCCGAATGTTTTGCCAGTGACCTTACCGAAAATTTCAAACCAACCTATATATCAATGGCAGCTTACTTTACGTAACAACGACTACACAAGGAGAAAATATAAAGCTACCTAAAGAAATAGTACAATAAATTAACAACTTTTCTTCTAAAAAGATTCCAGGAATGATCTTATCACTGAAGAAATATAAAAAATGCGAAAAAGAGGTTAGCTAAACTAACGTACCTATTTAACGCTTGCAATCAGACTGAAATATGTTCCAGCATCTGGAAATTCGCAGAAGTCATTATGATACAAAAACCGGGGATACCGGCGAACGTGGTAAAATCATAGAGACCAATATCGCTATTACCTACAGTCTCTAAGCTTTTCGAAAAGTTATTACTAAAAAGAATAAAACCCATTTTAGAACAAAAGAAAATCATCCCTGACCACCAATTTGGATTTCGAACATTCAGCCAAGACCAAATTCACCGAGTAACGGACGTAATAGAAAAATCACACGACGGAAAACAAATTTGTTCTGTTTTATTCCTTGACGTCTTACATGCTTCTGACAAGTTTTGGCATGAAGGACACATAAGTAAGCTAAAGGGGATGCTACCAAAGTAGTATGTAGATATTATCAATTCCTACCTGACAGACGTTTTATACTTAAACAAGAAGATCGATATTGGGAACATCCAATAATAACAATAAATGCAGGAGTGCCACAAGGTAGCATATTAGGTTCAGTACTTGTTATACACCAGTGATTTTCGGAAAATAGGTGGAGTTAAAATTGCAACGTTTGCAGATGACACAGCGGTGATATCAGTAGGGCCTTGGTCAACCATTCATCCAAAATCTTTCACAACATTTGTAACAATAAAAACAAATGGGCGGTCAAGGATTATCGGAAAAGTCCAGACTACAAGGAGAAATCCACAATATTTTCGGTTGATAAATGCGAGTGTACGTGCTTAATAATTCTGTTATACATGTAATAGTCAATTTTGGTAGAAAATGCCGTAAGAATTCAGTTTAAAATGAAAATGGATTCACACGCTTTAAACTAGATTTAAACTTGCTGTTGTTTTATGAAGAGGTCGTGTTTGTTAGAAATTATGACCACGTATTCGCCCGTGGGTCGTTTTACACTGTTGTAAGTACTGCTACTAACCGTTTATATTTTCTTTTTTCCAGACAAGGATGAGCTTCCTGTGGAAGCAGAGTCGGCCATGTCTCCAGCCAGCTCTTCGCCCATCTCATCCCTTCACAATTCCGAGGACAGCGATTCAGGTCAGTGAAAATTTGAGCTTTGTGTCTCGACTCAGCATGTAAATAAAACCTTTAACGTTTTACAAACTGCTAAGGCGGGAAAAATAAACTCTTCTCGCTCCTTCAGAGGTGTGTTGTTAAAAATTGCCCGTTCCAGTTCAGTTTCTTCTGGACGAATAATGATAGGGCTAAAGAAAATAAATCGCACCAAACGTATTAACAATAAAGGGATTTTCTTCTTTGAGAAAGGATACATAAAATCATTAGCTGAGGGAGAGCTCCTGCGAGTTCGAAAAGACCTTTCAAACGTAAAGTAAAGAATGTAAAAAGCGCTGTGAAGTTCAATAAAAACTGAGTTCAATAAATTCTATTTGCAATTCTTAAATTAGGCAAATAGAAAAAGGAAGAAGAAAACAACAGTAAATAATTAATTAACGCCCAATGCCACAACAAGCTTGGTTTGAGTTATTCGTTTCGTGTTTTTTCAGAGTAGGTTAAAATATTTTATTAGCCAGAAACAAAATTAATTATGATTAATGAATATTTATTTTCCTTAAAAGCATGGTTTGAAGTCGAGATCTCGCCTGGGTAGCCCAGGTCCCGGTGGGGGGGGGGGTGCAGCGCTGTACCTTCCACGATGGTCTACAACGGTTTAGGGCTACCGGATCGAAGAGAAGGTAGTGGTCGACGGCGATGTACGACAACTAGCGACGTTTTATTGCTCTAACCGCACTACGGAACCGTCATTTAACGGCTTCCTTAATAGGTAGTAAACTCCCAATCTGTCCGTAATGTAAGCTTTAAAACAGACATCAGAAGGGTTCTTGAGAATAGCGTAGTCTCTAGACACCCCACATCAAGTTCTCTTCTACTTGTGAGAGATATCTAGAAAAAAGACTTTTAACAAATCAGCATCTCGCTTCGACACTTGAACAGCGGGGGCTGTTCTTTTCACAGATGAATGCCGCTGTGGTTTGTGTTTAATTGTTCAAAGACAGTCAATTATGGAATCGACATCCATGCTCATACCGAACTGGTTATCATACGGAATGGATCATTGACTGCACTAAAGTACATTGAGGAAGTTCTTCTGGAAACTGTTGTCCCATACGCTCCTTTTATTGGAGACAACTTCGTGTTAATGCATCATAATGCTAGACCGCATGTAGTTCGATTCTACTCATTACTTGAAAGATGTAGAGATTACCATAATGAATTGGCCAGCACTTTCTCCTGACATGAACCCCATAGAACAGTTATAAGACATGATAAAGAGATAGGCGTCGTTGCATCCAACAAGTGTTGAACAGCTTGAAAGACGCTCTTGTTGAAGAATATAGATCGAAAACGTCACGTAGGAGGGAGAAGAATCTCTTGACTCCGAAACTTGAACTACCTACCTTCAATTCGGTAATATGTAACAATGAGATAGGAAATATATTTATTATATATTACCCATTGGTAGTTCGCCAATGACGGTAAAATGTTGTCTGTTTAATTGATGCTTGTGTCAATAACACTGTCACTATCACTTAGTAGAAGATCTCGAAGCCATAGTCTCTTCAGCCGGCGAGGATTGTTCGAGGGAATTTGTCGGGTTGCGAGTTTTTGGATGTACTAATTTTCGGTGGTTGGGAGGGGTTTGTGAAATGGAATATTGGTGGTTTGGACGAATGTAATATTTAACCCTTTATGGCCGAATGTTGTCTTAGAGCAAGACGAATTTTAGCCATTTTGTTAAAATGTCAGCTGGGAATCCAGTAAGTTTACTGATTGGCGCCAAATAAATCAGTGTTGTCAATAGACGGTCCAACACTGCGCCCTGAACATGCGAGATTAACCTAACCTTAAATAAAATTTCACAAGATGGATTGCTCTGAAGCAACTTTGGACAAAATAAGTTAAATTGAAAACTTGACATAAAACGTTTTGTCGCTACTTATTATATTAATAATCGATACAGGACGCAGTAGTGGATTTAAGAACCAGCTGGAGATAGATGATTTCAAGATGGAAATTTTAGTTGGCGCCAAAAAAAAACAAAAAAAAAACAAATCAGTGTTGCTATTACACGGAATGAATCATTGAAGGAAAAAACTACACCAGCCCACTCACGGGATTCGCTTAGTTTTAGCAAATTTGCGAAATATGATATTTTTGCCTGGTGCAACGTTGGGCATGAATGGTTAAGACTGTATAAGTAGTTTCGTTTGGTACATAAAATGGAGCATCAAGGATTTTTCATAGGATTAGGCAGTACGAATGAGGCGGATGTTGGAACGTTTGGCTGAACCACACACTTCCAGTCCGTAAGTCCTGATCGGCTAAACTATGGTGTTGTAAAGTAGCCTTTTGGCCATGTAAGTCAGAACGTTTGTCAAGAAATTGTGTAATAATCCTGAATCGTGTCATAACTTCTAGACATTTCAGTCGTGTGTGAGGATTCCACGTCAAGCGTTTGTCGATATACAATCCGAGGTTTTATTCTTTTCTTTTCACACCAAGAGCTGTGAGGTGTTGAAGATTTTGAGTGGAACATGATCGCAGTTACTAGAGAGAATTGTAACGTATGCAAATGTGGGATGGGAAATATTCTGAAAGAGAATTGTCTTCAATGACTCGGAAAAAACAAGCAGTGAGACTGTGAAATATGAGTAGGTAAAGGGAAGGATGCCCTTGAGCATGAACTGCAAACCCAGGTGCCAAACTCGATCTTGGCTTACGTCAAGACAGGTTCCAGATCTGCTCCTACTCAAGAGAGGAAATGCCTGCCCCACGATGGGATCGTTCAAGTTGCGAAAACCAAAGTGATGCCCGGGGTTATATGTTGAGAGTTTACGATTGATTTCTTTTAACAATGGATTAAAAGTGCCATGATGATCGCCGACCTTTGGAAGAAAACTGCACTCTAAAAAGAAGAAAGTATCACCAAAAATGTTACATTAAAATCTGTGGTTCCACATCGGTAGTCTCCCCTTTCAGTATGTCATGACATAACACCAATACGCAAATGAAACTTTTTTTGAGCGATGATTTCATCATATCAGGTGTTTCTGAAAGGTTTTCAGTGCTGATTCTCAATATGACTTCAGTTTTTTCTACCACGTCAGGATTTTTCACAAATCGAATTCGATATAATGGCAAATTTTATTACCGGAATCAACGAGAACCCATAATTTAGATTAATTTATTGAGAGATGAAACACTTTATAAACTTTATATTACTATGCAAGAAAACTAAATACATTTTTACAGTCATGTATAAAGTGTGTAAAGTAGTAAGTTCATTTCTTGGTTTTCCGTGTTGACCCATCATCCTTGCAGTCTCGCTTCAGCATTCAACAGTAATCTGCCATCATGCTCGAATTCCAGTTTCCCTGATATCTCCTTTCCATTTCTCTTATATCCGGGGGAACCTTTCACCATGCTACTCGCTGAAGTCACCAAGATTCTCGGGGAAATAGTCTCCTCTACGGGAAATTCTCTACGTCTATTATAATAGAAACGATGGAAGAAGATTTTATGAAGTCATAAATTTAATGTTGGATTACATGCTTGTTATTCTACAAATGTCCACTATTTCTATTTTACAACTGAATCCTAGAAGTCTCTTGAATCCTCTTTCAGGTTTATCGCTCAAACACATTTCCCATGCTAGAAGAGGTCTTGTAATAAATAACATTCCTATTAATCCATTTACGTTTTAGTGGTTAATTGGCCTAGTTACTTCTTTCAATTAATTATCCTTTCTATGTACGGTCTTGGTTGAGATAAAAAGTCAGTGTCACGAGCGGGATTCGAACCCACGACTTCGGCTAAATACGCCGCTGCTCTACCACTTGAGCTATCGTGACTTCGATCCTCTCGGACAGAAACTCTTCATCTCCAACGAAATCGTTGAAAACAGATTGATCCGAGACCTCAAATACAACACGACAGAACACACGGCGCGAAATCTGTGGCACTGCCAAAGCGCCACAAGTCGCGTCTCAATATGCGTCGCTTTACTCGATGCCTAGGACTAGAGGAGATAATACGCGTTATAAAGAGTAAAACTAACTAATAAATTGTTAATAGGAATTTCTTTGAATTAATTATTCTTTCTATATAAGGTATTTAGCCGAAGGTCGTGGGTTCGAAACCGGTTAGTGACATTAACTTTTCTATCGCAACCAAGACCTTACATAGAAAGAATAATTGATTGACAGAAATTCTTATTAACAATTTATTAGTTAGTTTTACTCTTTATAACTCGCATTATCTCCTCTAATCCTAGGCATCGAGTAAAGCGACGCATATGGAGACGCGACACGTGGCGCTGTGGCGGTGCCACAGATTTCGCGCCGGGTGTTGTGTCGTTGTACATGAGATCTGGGATCAATCTGTGTTCAACGATTTCGTTTTATTGTATAATATGTCTCTAGCATTCTTTGTATAGAAAATTTTACATATTTACCATCCTTCACAGCGAGGGAAACAGTAGTAATAAAAAAGGATATTAACATGAATATAGCAGAGAATCGAGGCGAGAGTAAATCATTGATGAAAGATTACATGTATTAATCTAGTGGAGCATGTATAAAATAACTTTCTCCTGGTTCCTCTTTTCTCTCGTTCATACTTTATTGCTATCCACAATCTAATCGTGTGCTAAAAAAATATATATCAATTTCGTTATTTCGAGCGGTTCAATAAAAAACGAGGGAGGACGTGAAGTCAGTTCTGTTAGAATCGAGTCAAGGGGCTATTCTCTCCCTGTGTCTGTGTCTGTGTAGTCGGACCCTGATTTGTATGGGGGCGGAAGGCGCTCAGAGAGAAAAACAAAGCTGTAATTGCAACGGGCCTGGACATTAAGTAGCTGGAGTGCATGCCGTTATGGGTGTTCGGAGGCCCATTTCACTCCTTTTTATTGGCCTTCCCTCAAGGCGCCCCCGCTCAATCCCCACATGGATAATAAACCGAATTAAAACTTGGTACTTTGATGCTTTTTGTACCAATAGACCTAATTACGGTTTGTCCTT